CTGTGCAATTCTTCCCCGGCCGCTAGTCTATCAATGTCTCCCAGAAAGGATTAGGCTGCATTTTCTTCATCTTCAAATGAATTTTAGCTGTCACTCCCTTGATGAATTGAATAGCCGGGGCCGCTAACCCAGGCGGGGAAGGGCGAGCCCAGGCGAAGCCAGGTTGAAAGGCATCGGCTGAAGGCCTCGGCCTGCTCTGGCAGGCGCCTCCCGGAAGCCCTGGTGCCCCACGAGGGACGGGCAGGGCGGGCAGCACAGATGGCCCAGCTGGAAGCCTGGCCCCACGGTCGGCTCACCCCAGCAGTCGCACCACCAACACAAACACAGGCTGGCCACGTACCTCTTCTCATTTTTAAGGATTCTTTGGGGAGCCTCTTAGCATCCCACAGCCCCAAAGGACCTTCCCTTCCTCCACTCCAAACACAACTGAAAATACTTTTTCTGCAAAGTGAGGCCTTAACATGATGGTTTGATCCTGGAGAGCGCGATGCCTCTCCTCCTGTCCCAGACCCCACCCAGGGCACTGGGTTTCAGAGGCAGCAAAAAAACCAGGGATGCAAACACAATCCTGACCGCGTCAGCAGAAAAATGCAATATAAGATGAGATTTAAGCTGATCTCAGGGTGTTGCGGGAGGAGGAGGAGGAGGAGGTAGAGAGGCTCCCTCAGGAGGGGCAGGACCCCCAAATTGCTTGGAAAACTCAATAAAGCCGAGGATGGATGTCACAGAATGCTAACTCAGCAACCCTGCTTGGCTGAGGGAAATCTGACCTGTTTTGAAATCCAGCTGACCCGGCGGTACGACGACATTTAATCTCCCTTGGACGCCCCCCCCCCCGGAAACATCTGTCCGCTTGCACTGCTGGTTCGCTCTCCGTGCCTCCTACTCAACCTTGAAAGCCCCAGCACCTCCGCTCCCCGCCCCCCTAATAATTGAACCCCACTTCCCAGCCTCCAGCCTCTTCCTACTGAGCTCTGTGCCGCTTTGGAGAAAACTCAATGGCCAATTATTTTTTAAAGAATTATTTAAAGGAATTTCTTCATATTCATAATTCATATTTTATTTCAAGACATCTGCTGCTGATTACATTACATTTAACTAAAATTAGATGAAGCTCTCAGAATGTAATTAAGCCCCTGCCAAAATTCCTGGCCCACCAATACCAGCCGAGCACAGCGGGGGACGTTCGGAGCCTAATATGTAATTAGGAGCTATTTTCTAGCTGTTTTTAAAGTCTGAAAATTAGCTGCCTTTATTAATCACACAGACAAATATAAAGCCAAGCCAATGCTTGCCGAAATTTCTAAAAAGGATTTTTTTTTAATTATACACCACATTGCACCGAGACTCATTTTGAATGTTGATTTGTTGTGCACTGACATTTTGACAACTAGTTCTCAATTTGTCTGTCGTAGTTCGGCAACAACAAAGCCGACAGTAATACTTAACTTTCAAAACCTTCACGGTGCCGTGGGGGGCTCCTGGGGAGGGGGATTCATGCCTTAAATCCATCACGGAGTAACAGGCTGCCACGGGTGCCCTTCCACGCTGGGGGAAGGAAGCCCCGGGCCCATCTGCCCTGTCTCACCCCCTCCCCAACTGAGGAGTGAGGGTCTGTCTGAAGCACGGCCCCCTTGTCAAAAAGATGCAGAAGTTCACAGGCCCCCAGCAGACACTTCCACACCCTCAAGAACCACCAGCCTTGCCAGCTGATGACACCCAATTCTGCTCTCCCGAGACCTCAAGGCGCACGGCCAGTTCCAAACACCTCGGCAGGACCCTGACGGGCAGCAGCTGAGCCACTTGGCTTCCTTCCCCCGCGGAGAGCTTTGAGGTCACCTTGGTGGCACATCTGGAGCGGACGGTGGGCTTCCCAGACCCAAGGGCTCCATCCAAGAGAGGCTCCCTGTCAGCGGCAGGGACTTGGATCCTGTAATACGGCCTTTCCTCTGCCTCAAGATCTTGGCTCTTGAAGGAAACGCTCTTGACCAGGGAGAGGTCGGACATGGAGAACAGATGAAGAGCCTTCTCTGATACTCCAGGGAGTAAATGGCAAGAGGTTACACAGGAAGTCTTCTTCTAGGGCCACGCCCAGATGTTTCACAGGGCACCTTGTTCTAGATCTCTTCTTCATCGACTCGGCTCTGGCCACAATTTCACACTGTTAAGAGTTGCGGGTCCTTCCACCCTGGGAACCAGGCCTGCTCGGAGGGCTCCAGAAGAGGGGGTTTTGGGTGTGACCTATTTCCGTTCTGTTCCACAGTGGAATATCCTGACCAGTTCTGAAGGCGAAGCCCTAAATAGCTGGGTGGGCTTTGGCTTAGAGTGCAGACTCAGAGTGAAGCAGCCACTGCAGCCTGTAAATCGTGGCTTAAGCGTGTGCACAAAGTCAGGCAATTATGGCTTGGTGCAAAGTGTCAACCCAGACATTGTTTTCCACTGATGGGGCCGTTCTCTCCCCCAAAAGCAGGATTAAGAAGCGGAGATCAAACCGACAGGAGTGCTGCAATGCTTGGGAGGGGGCTCTGAGCCACACAATCTCCACCAGCCTCCCTCGGATCTGAGAGAGAGAGAGAGCGAGCTGCCTTTCAGCTCCTGCTCTGACATTTTCTATCCTGACCCCTTTTTCTGCCTCTTATCTCCCCCAACGCCATTGTCTCCCAAGCATCCATTCAAAGCAGCCACTGCTGACGTTCAGCATAAAACCATCTGCAGCGCCCAGCCAGGCTCTCCCGCACCTGCCACTCCGGGGGAAGGCAGAAGCCCCCCCCCAGGGTTAACAGGGCAGGGAGGCCACTGCAGTGGGGCCCAAGGCAGGAAGGACCCCCAAAGGATGGTAGAAACTGACCCCAAGAAGGGGCAGGACAAGAAGCCGAGAAGAATCTCTGGGCTGGGCTGGGCCGAGTCCCACTTGGACAGAGAAAGCAGCTCAGAGGGTTCGACCAGATGGGCTTCCCCCCCCTCTGTCCAGCCAGCTTGTGCAGGAGGGGAAGATTGCTCCCCCCAATCCTCTTGGCAGTGGAGCATGGTTCCAGAGGTTATGTAAAAACAATGTCATTTCCCCAGCCTCCTCATAAAGAGTTATTTTAATACAGCTCTAGTTACCAGCCTGTTGCTCAATTATTCAGTGCTACAGGCTCAATGTTACCGTTTTAAGTTTTTGTATAATTTTGATGCTTTTATTGGCACATTGCTGAAAATTAGCTTTAAACCGAAAAGCAGGTTAAGCATATTTAAAGTAGCTGAGCAAATGATTGGAAAAGGTATAAATAGCCTCACAGTCATCGGCAACGTTTTGGTTTCTCTTTCCGGCTGCCAAATTGCCTCGTCATCCTCACCCTTCACAGGAGTGAAACCAGCCCAGGAACAGGCCAGGGAGGCTTCTGGCCTCTGAGCGCCAACCCGGTTCAAAAGACCCATCAATTCTGATGAGACCGACCGGAAAAGCTTCAGCCTTGGAGGTTCACCTGTTCAGCTGTAGCTCTCCGTTTCCCAGGTTTTGCCTCAAGGCAGGATGTGGGCAAAGTCCGGCACTCGACTGTCTTGATTACCTGCCCCCCCCCCACATCCAGGCCCCCAGCCAGTGTTTTCCTGGCCTCTAGCAGCCAGCCTCTCCCAAAATGAAACAGCTTTCAGGAGCAGATGGTCTCTCTGACCGCATTCCTGCATCCCTGCGCAACTGATCTCTGCCAGGGGCTGCCAAACCTGGCCTGGCTCTGCCCACATTTTGCTCCCGGAGGGGAGGGGAGGGGAGGCCGGCTCTCAGCTGCTCCTTTGCGTTCTTTTCATCTTCCGCTTTCCTGGGCTGTTCCGGCCATTAGGAGCCAACGGGGAGAATGATTAGTCTTCCCTCCACAAAGCTCATCAGTGCAAAAGTGACGCTTGAGAAAAATTAGCCAAATTACCAGCCTGATCCGTCAGTCCTCCCTAACGTGCATCTTTGACAAGAGGGGCCTGGAAGCAAAGGAAGGAGCCCACCACAAAAGGCAAGGGGGGCGTGTGAGGGGGGGCAGGCATCTCCTTGGGGGCAGCAGGCAGAGAGGCTGCCTTTGCGGCTATTGTCCTGCGATGACCCTCCGGTCACTTCTGCCGTCTTGTGCTCCTTTCCAGAGACGGTTGCTCCACCCGCCATTCTCCTCCAAACAGAGGAAGGTCCCGTTTCTCAAATTAGGGCCAGAAAGATGATCCGGGATGCAAGATCCCCTCCCCCCCGTCCCATCAACTTGGGGAGGGATGCCATTACCCAGCAGAACAACGAAATCCATTTTAAATTCTAGACCCAACATGGCTACATTTATACATCCCATCAAACCATGGTTTTGTTTAACTTCCGTTTGTTTCTTCAAGGGCTGCCCCTCCTTCTCAAAGGCCAGAGAGTGGGGGGGGGGGGGGAGAGCAAAAGGTGAAATCCAAGAATAATAACCAGGATGAAGTGGAATGCAAAGTGTGGCAGCCACTGAATTCCCAGAAACGCTTGGAGGCCTCTGCAGGCTCTGGGCTTCCCTCCCACTTTGCCCATATGGAGTGTGTGTGTGTGTGTGTGTGTGTGTGTGTGTGTGTGTGTTCTCAAAATCACCCCCTCCCCCCAACAGTGGTCTGCTCTACCACTTATAAAAAGTGCCCACCCAGCTTCCCATGCTCTGCCACCTTCCCGGGTGGCACAAACTTGGCCCCGATGAGCTGTAAGAATAGCCCCCTGCCAGGGGTGCGGGCATTCCGAGAGAACCAATGGAGCCCCCTCCCAGCAGCTGGGATCCCTGCCCACCTTTGCAATCAAAAGACCCTCCTAGCCATAGCTCCTCCGTAAGTGGGTCTATGCTGCCCTCTGCTGTTCAGAAAAGTGTCTGCGCTCACTGAGAAACTTCGCTCAAACCAGCTGCCAGTTCAGGCCAAGCGCCCCCCCCCCCCCCCCCCCCCCCCCCCCTCTCCCCCCGGGAGAACACCCCCCCCCCCCCCTCAGCCCAGGACTGAAGGAAGCCCTGACACAAAAGCCAGAAGAGCCATCTTTGACCCCAACCTTTATTCAGGGGCCTCGCAACCCCTCTAACACCAAAAAGCTTGAGTTGACTAACTGACCAAATACAATTACGGACACAAAGCAATGGCCCTGAAACATACATGCTGGTTTCGAGGGCATTCAGAAGTCCTGTTTTTCATTCCCTTTAAGCCATTCAGCACCTCATTAATGGGGGAACCCCCCCCCCCCTCAGCACAGGCCAGGAAAGGCAGTAATGCTATGCTTGGAATCTTCCCCAGGAAGCCTTAAAAATTAGAGACGAATCAGAAAAGAGACAGTTAATAGCACATCTTCCCAGAGCAAACTTGCCAGGCCTTGTCAATTGGGGGGAGGGGGGAGGGATAAGAAGAGTTTGGGATTGTGGGAAAGCCACTAAGGAGATGGGCTGTCATGGGAGGGAGCGACTCCCCCTCCTGCCTACCCGTCACCTGGCAGTGTGCAAAAGGTGCAAGGATTTACACTAGCGTACCCGAAGACCCCCGTTAGCAGTAGAGTCAAGTCAACAGCAGGTCGGCCCCCTGGTGCTTCAGCAGCCCCCACTCCCACTGAGTAGACCTGCACCCTTCCCAAATTGACTGATCAAGTCCCGCTGGGCCGCCTTGGACGTTGCCTGGATGTCCAGTCCGAGTCAGGGCAGGTCCCAGGTGGAGGAAGAGTCGCTCTTCACGGCCACCATTAACTGCCCTTCAAAGCCTTCTGCACTTCCGCTTTCAGGCACGGCAAGGCGTGGGCGCTTATGCCAGGCGCCCCGATGACCGTCTCCCAGCACTCAAACCCGCAGCGGGTCAGGTCTCGGATGGCGTCTTCCACCGCCGAAGGAGCGGTGCCTGCCAAGAGACGGTGCTCCCCAGTTAGACACTCAAAACAGCAGAGGTGGGTACCGAGCTGCCCAGCCACCCCAAGCCGGTGCCCAAAGCAGCATAGAAGGTTTGGCACTCAGAAAGTGCAGCCGAAGAAAATGGAGCTGAAGAGCCACGAATGCAGGTAGAGGATGGGAAGGTAGGCTCACCACGAACGCTGAGCTTGGGATCACACGCAAATGGCCGCAGCCACCCAGACAGGCACTTTTAAGGAGCAACATGCCTCTGAGCTACACCTCGGAAGCATTTAAGTAGAATTTAAGAATGGTTCGTGGTTACCTTAAGTGTGGCACTTAAGGTAAATTCTAAAGAAGTGTTGCATAGCTGTCTGGGGAATTCTGGGAACTGAAGTCCACAGGTCTTAAAGATGCCAGAGTCGAGAAGCACTGCTGTAAAGGAGGCCCATAAGCCGCTGAAAGTAGCACATCCAACTGAAAGCCAATATGCCCCCAACAACTGCACTGCAACACATCTGTAGGGCTCTTTCACTTACACAATTGATTGTGAACTCAACCGACCCGCAACCAACGGAGAATTCAAGAGCAAGAATGAAACCTGTGCAAAGGAAGGCAAAAGCCGGCCAGGAAAGACTTACCTGGTCGAAGCAAAGTGATGGCGCAGCCGCCTCCCCCAGCCCCGGTCAGTTTGCTATGCAGTCCATGGGAGGAAGTGACCTGGCAGACGCGGTCCAGCAGGGCGTGGCCGACCCCGATGCCATTGAGGAGGTGCTGGTTGATGTCTACCAAGTCCTGAGGAAAAAAGCAGTGACACTGATGAGAGGAGAAACATGGAGCAGAAGCAGGGAACGTGCTTCAGACAGAAATAAGTGTGGCAAAAAAGCCAAGGTTGTTTTTCAGTTTTAAAAGCGGGGTTCTAGTCCTCATGAAGGAATCAAGATAAGGGCTTACCTCCAGCCTGGAGTAGTGTTCCTGAGATGGATCTTTGGTCATTGCCTCAAGAATACCTTCGCATTCCCGAGAAATTGCATCTATGGTAGCAAGCATTGGCTCCATGATAGTGGGAAACTGCAGGAGGAAAAATGATAGGGGGAGGGAGGGAGAGAGAAAGAGAAAGAGAGAGAGAGAGAGAGAGGAGGAGGAAGAGCAAAAATAAAAAGCATAAACCATCTGAAATCTTATTCAAGCTATCTTGGCACAGTTATAAGGTTTACTTTTAAAAAAAACACCTGCTTCTATTAAAGTTAGCAAGAAACGGACCCTCATGAACGGCATTTTTTCGGCAGAGCTGCAAAGAATATTTGGCTAAAATGATGCCCCAAAGGTCAAGGGTCAGAGACCCAAGCAATACTGTTTAAAGAATTCTTGGCGACCATCTAAACACCCAGAAACAGGCCAGCCGTCTCCTGCTTCCTGGCACTCAGAACAGCTGTGCTTTTTATACAGCCCCTCTTCCAAACCTGAGTGTATTTTGACCTATCACCAACCATAAATTCTGGGCAGTCACAAAGCCTCAGAGGGGAACCAGAAGAAATACCTCCAGGAGCTTGGCTTTAACCCCCGCAACCAGGATCTTGGTGCTGCGTGGAACTTTAGTGTTGGTCAGCAAAATCCGTAAAGTGGGCACACTGAGAAGAAAAAGACTCTTAGAAAACAAGTCAACAGTCTGGGAATTGCTATGCAATAACTAAGAATGCAGACCCATCAGGCACAGCCAAAGGAGGACGGTACGGGTTTTATTTTCCCCTAAAGGACCTGGATGTTTGCAGCCTGGGAGAGGGGTGAGGATTTTGCCAAGCATCTCCACAGCAGGAAGGTGAAATTACAAGCCCCATCGTCTCCCACCCCGAGGGGGGACTGAAGCATCTCGCAGCCTTCACTTCCGCCCCTGCGAATGCCGCACAGCCAGCGTCGCACCAGGAAGGGACCTTCGCTAGCTAAGCTTAATCACCAATTAGAGCCACGGTTTACTTAGAATTAGACTCCTTGGCGTGTTGTAAGCGCTCTCCAAACGACCCAACCAAGGCCCACATTTCGCAAGCCAAAATTTGTTTTCTAATAACTGCCAACAGAATAACTGGTGTCTAACATTAGCTGCTAATAGAGCAATTTCACGCCCTGCGAAAGATTCTAATGAAGTCCGATTAGGCCAAGCTGGCGGAAGGTACTGTGTGTATGGGGGGGAGGAGGGAGCTGTCGCTGAGCCCTTGCTGGCAATCTCTTTTCCGAGCCCTGGCAACGCTCAGCATGCAAACTCTCTAATGTGACACTTGCTTGCCGAAGGGACCCTTCGCAGTGTGAGACCTCAGGCCCAGAGTGAGATCAGTGGAAGGCTGCTAGTGCTCTCCTTCGAAAATAAGACTCTGTCAGTCTGCCTAAAGAAATTAATCAGCCATCAAGGCTTTCCCCCCCCTTTTTTTTAAATCAAAACTTTTTAACACACTGATCATTCTGCAAATCAAAACATTGAAGAAAACTATCTTTTTCTGACGGAAATACCAAGACATGCCATCATGCTAAAAATACAACTCAATCTTTAAAAAATGTTTTTATAAAGCCACCAATTCTTGTTCAAACAATCTAAACATTGATGCTAAAATGAACCTTACCTTTTTAACACAGAGATTTGTCCTGAAATATACCGCAAGGCTCCACCTAAACATTTGGGAAAGAAGGAAAGAAAAATTGTTCCCCAGGATGTTTCATCTTACCATATTCTGCAAAATTGTTCAATTTCACCTAGCAAGAGGGAAACATCTGGCTATTTACTCCTTTACCAAAAACCAAGAGAAGGGAGGCCTTGGGGTCTACGGCAGTCAAAATTCCTTCCCGGAATCCTAAGGAGCATTTAATGTGGTTCCCTAAGACAGCTCAGCTCAGTACCTAAGAGAGGGGCAAAAGGCTCCTTGCGGCACCTGAGCTAGTTCAGAAATGCAAAAGAAGAAAAGAGAACACCAACCCCAGGTGCTCACAGCGTTGTCCACTCCAGAAGGATTCCCATGGATCACTTGCTCTCCTCGGAAGGCCAACCTGTTGATCACGTCCAGCTCCTCCTTGGTCCATCTGGAAGAGCAGAAGAGGCCTCGGTTGAGATCAACCTCTCCCCACCCCCTTTCAGCAGCCCTCCAGGTCCTCCTTTGACCTGCTGCTTCTGGTCCTTTAAACCGGACAGGATGAAAAAATGCACCTGGGTCCCTAGAACTGCAATCTTATCTTTGAGCAACAAGACCCCAAATGAAGGGCTTTAAGATGACAAAAAGCTCCCTTAACAAATGCCCAGTTCCACGTGGACAGGTGGAAACAATTTTCCAACTCCTCTCTTTCCCAGTTCCTACCTAGCTGTTTCTTGGCCCTCCTGCAGAGGATAGCTGACGGCCCCGCATCCAAAAAGCAATGCCCCTGCCAGGCAGACCGAGTACGCTGCGCTGGAGCCTAACCCAGCGCCGGTGGGCAGCTCAGACCAGACTAAGATGTCAACAGTTGGCAGAACCCTGAAAGATAAGAACATTGTGAACATTAAAGTTTTGCAATTCCACTCATTGCTTTCCTCATGCTGAGCAGAATTTAATAGCCTTTGCTTTCATGATGAATCACAACAGCCTTACAGAACGAGTAAGACCACAGAACCGGTCTTTCCTTTGCTCATTTTCTCCTCTGGTTTTTTTTAGATGTGGTGCCTTAGAAACAAGTAATCTGTAAGAAGTGTTATATGCTGCCCACTCCTAGTTTCCTGATTTTTTTTAATAAAATAGATATAATCTACACCCTGATTTTATTTCATGGCTCATGAGTTATTTTCTGCAAATAATTATCCCACAATCCTGATTTTAAATTCATGTGATAATAAAACATCTTTTTTTTCTTCTGTTGTCTTTCATTGTCAAGCTTCGTTGGCTGTATCCCATTCTTTCTCTATTTCTTTCAATCTATCGTATCTCGCACTGCCTGTTCTTTAGGATCCATATTAACAGTCATCTACACATTCGCTAAACCCTCCTGAGTACTGACATTCCCAGAGAAGGGCAGGATAGCTCCACAATCTCCATCAATGCCTCCAAATTCTTCATGTGGAAATTGGGAAGGCATGTTTGGCAATCCTGACTGCCAAGAGCGAAAGAGCCACACAGCAAAGGTGAGCTCCATAGTCTTACCCGTATTTAGATGCCACAGATAAGTACAAATAAAGAAAGGCTGCAGCAGCTACACTCTGGACTGCTTCATGTCCATAATCGCCCCCCGCAAACTCTTTCAGCTTCTCCACTTGTTCAGCACTGGGGGGCTGCGCTTCAGGCAGTTCAACTGAGGAGAGAACGAAGAGCAGGAGACATCATCTTCTATGCCCAGAAAGGGAGGCGAGACCCCTTTCTTCAGTAGGTTTGGACAGGAACGCTTTACTAACTATTTCACATGCATCAGGATAACACCAACAACAAGTTGCAGATCAGGGGCAGAATTTGACGGATCCAATTTTGAAAGCACGCGGCCCAATTGCCAGCTAAAGACTATCAGATGCTCTTAGGAAACAGTTAAGAGACTCTCAAAGGCAGTTAAACAGGCCCGGGAGTTTCGGAAAACCTAACCCTGGGCAGGGTTCTCCGAGGCCACCCACCGAAAGCTTTAAGGTAAAGCTGATTTTTGGAGCCCCGCAAAGAAAGCGAAACATGGTAGACCGATGGCAGCAGGAAGACAAGGATGAGAGGCTGTTGCTTTGGGGGGCGCAACACCCCCAGCCGGATGGCGAAGAGGCCGGCTTCCCCAGCGGCTCCTTGTGGGGGAGGGAGGGTGAAAGGCAGGAAGGTGGAATTCCCCAGAGGCGCCTCGGGCCTACCTGAGAAGGCGGCTAGCAGCGGCCGGAGCTCTGCGGCTTCCCAGCTTAGTTGGCTCCCCAGATTCGGCAGCTGCAGGGAGATTTTCCCATCCTGCCGCGGAGTCATCCGGAGGAAAGTCCGCAGGTCCAGGGCGGTTGCCAGAGCCACCTGCCTCCCAAAGGCATCAGGGGAGGAAGGTCACAGTCACCAGACGGAGGGACGGAGGGACGGAGTCAAAGTCCACCGATAAAACTGAGGTGCTGAGGAGGAGGAGGAGGAGAAGCGCCCCCCTCCCCCCCTCCCTGCGCAGAGAGGAGCCGGCCTTTTGGGGTGCAAAGGCCAAGGGGGGGCTGGGGGGGGCACCGCATGCTCGCCGTGCAGGATCACCTTCCCCGGGGCGGAGAGCACCAGGCTCCGCTTCCACATCGCCTCCCTGCCGAGAGAGAGAAAAGCGCCGTCCGTCCGAGGGGGGCAAAGCTCCGGGCCCCCCCCCCCGTCGGCCCTCCCCGCTGACCCTCCGCCTCCGCCCCTGGGGGAGGGGGGGGGCTTTCCGCGCAATGCATGCTGGGCCGGCGGGAGAGACCCTCACCTGTCCCAGCCGCCGCTCAAGGGGGTCCGAACATTCCGAAGGGGCGTGGCCGGCGCTCCGCCCCCGCCCAATCGGGCGATGCGGGCGCCGTCTTTCCTTCCCCCGATTGGCCGCTCCCCGCAGCGCCGCGCCCAATCGGAAGCCAGCGGGGGCTGAGACGACGGCCGCCCGGAAGGGACAAACTTGGCCGGGCGCTTCGCCCTCGTTCCCCGGGCATGGCTGGCGCGGGCTGGCGGGGCGGGCGCTTCCTCCTGGTGCGGGCGGCGGCGGGCGGCGGCGGGGCGAGGAGCCGGGCCTTTTGCCGGGAACCGGGGCCCGACCCGCCCTGGTGAGGCCGTGGCGAGATTGCAGCCCGAGACGCGGATCCTGCCAAATGCCCCCGGGGGGGGGGGGGGGGGGGGGGGGGGGGGGCGCCGGGGGGGGGGGGCCCCGGGGGGGGGGGGGGGGCGGGGGGGGGGGCGGGGAGCCCCAGAAGGGCCCGCTCTCCTTCCCTTGGCTGCTGCCTTCATCCGGCTCCCTTCCTCCCCTGCAGCCCGGATCCCAAGCCCCGGAAAAGCCGCGGAGCCCCCAAGATCTACACCAAGACGGGAGACACAGGTAGCCCCCCCTCTTCCCCCCGGAAGGCGGCGTGGCTAGGCGGGGGCCCCGTGCCCGTCCTCGGCTGACTCCCCCGTTTTCTCTCTCGGGTTGGGCTTGAAGGGTTTTCCAGCACCTTCACCGGGGAGAGGAGAGCCAAAGACGACCAGGTCTTTGACGCTTTGGGAACCCTGGACGAGCTGAGTTCGGCTATAGGGTAATTGCAAGATTGCTTGTCGGCCTTTATGCCAAAATGTTTCAGACAAAGGTGCCTCCTCCTCCTCCTCCTCCTCCTCCTCCCTCATGAGGTGCTCGTGGCTGCCTGTCAGCAGCGGGGCCTTTGCACTTTAGACAGGGGCAGGCAAAAGTTCACTCTGAACTAGAAGCGCAAATCCTGCAAAGCAACATTAACATCTAAAAATAACAGCATACTTGCCACACACCAGCTCTCTAGAGAGACTTAGGGAAAAAATGTGACAGTTCCATAGATTTCAGACTGGCTGAATAGTTGTTGGATATTATTAGAGGAGGGGGAGTCACATCTGGAAACTCTGTTCTTTTTCACTGCAGCTTGAGTGCTGAATTTGGCAGTGAAAGTGGCCACACGTTTGTGGAAGAACTCCACAAGGTGAGAAATAAATTGAAACCATCCTTTCTATCTGGGCCAAGCTGTTACTCCTCTCTTACTCTGAGAGGTGCATAGCCGGATTAAAACAGAGGCCTGACTGCCTTCCAGGTGATACCACCTTTCTGTACCCCCGACATGTCTCGACTTCCCCTCCGCAGGTCCAGTGTATGCTGCAAGATGCCGGCTCTAATGTGGCAACGCCCATCTCTTCAGCCAGGGAGTCTCACATAAGTAAGTAGGACTTCTCTAAGAAGCTGGAGGTTGGTAAGGAATATGCTATTCAAACACGTTGCCGAGAGTTGAAAGCCCAGATAACTTCTCCCATGGCTGTTTCACTGATTGGAATCTGCAACCTGCTTTTCTTGATTGAAAACCAAAGGCTTCCAAGGGTCCCTAAGTGAGGGGAGCCTGCTTTTGGATTTGACACCTTGGGAGTCACGCTTGGCAGATCAATGCAGGAGACTGTTCTTCCATGGGAGAGGGGAAAACGTTCTGGGCACGTTCCAAGGGGCTTGAGGCTTTGTCAAGATTTTCCTCCAGGCCATCTTGTGTGACTGGCCTTCTCCTCCTCCTCTTCAGAGCGAACATCCTTCAGTGAGAAGCCTGTGCTGGAATTGGAAAGCTGGATAGACAAATACTCAGATCAGCTCCCACCACTCACCTCCTTCATTTTGCCAGTAAGTTCTTTATGTGCTCTTCCATGTTTTGGGCCTTCAGTCCTGGAGTGAGGATGTAACCACTGGACTTAGGCCTCTAGAAACCCTGAAGAGTTTTTCCGTGCCAGGATCACAACTTCATGCCTTTACATCCTACGTTGAAAAAAAAAAAAAGGAAAGGCAGCCAGAGGGGTCTTCTTTAGTGAGCCACTAAATCCTATGATTTGGGGCCAAAGCAAATCTCGCGTCTTGTGCTTGTGTCATTTTAGTCTGGTGGAAAAAGCAGTGCTGCGCTCCATCTCTCCAGAGCCGTGTGTCGCAGAGCTGAGAGGCGGTAAGGGACGGGGTCTGTTCTTCAGTTGGCAAGAACCTGGAGGCGGGTTTTAGAATAAATGCTCCCCTGCATGGGAAGAGTCTAAAAGGTGCTATAGGAGACCCCGCGGGAGTTGTGGGTTTAAGAGTTGTTGATAGAGCCACGGGAGAGACGAGGAAGCCGTCCCCTAAATGGTCGCTGTCCAAGCAAAACACATAAATGAAACACCTGGTCGGGATGGTTTTCCTTTTGTAAACTTCAGTTGCTTTGTGTCATCATGGCGTTTGGGCCTCTGTCTCCTTATGCCTCCACAGGGTTGTTCCTTTGGTGAAAACAGGAGAAGCAGATGCAAATGTGGCCAAGTATTTAAACAGGTAACTTGGATTTACGTGTGTAAACAGGCAGACAAATGTTGCAGGCCATAACTGCAGTCCTACAACAGGGAAGATCAATTTAGTTTTCTGCCATAGGACATTGCTGGAGAGGCATATAAAATGTTGCGACCTCTCCAGAAAGAGGTCCACCTGAGATTCTTTGGCCTTTTGCTATTTTACTGTAGCATTGTGTTCAAACTCCCAGCTGCTTCAAGGGAATTATTTGGGCAGAAATGGTAACTCTTGACTCTGTACCTCCGTGGGCTTTTCCTGCAGACTTTGGCAAGGGGAGCTGAATGCATGTGTGGGTCATAGAGATCAGGCTTGGCCATTCTCTCCCCTATGCCCAGATGCGTCTCCCAGCTCTGGCTGGGGATCTCTCTCTAACCCTGCTGTCAACAGATGAAGGGTGACTCTTTTCTTCCCCGTATCCAGGCTGAGTGACTACCTGTTTGTCTTGGCCCGGTTTGCTGCGAAGCAGGAAGGGAAGAAGGAGCAAATCTACAGAAGGATGGAGCCCCAAGACTAAACTCATGAATACATGATGTGCAATGAACAACTTTTGAGCTGATAGAAGGCAAAGCGAAGTGTAAAATGTTGGCAATTTGAAACGCTCAGATCCCTACCTGAAAAGCCAATAGAAGCCCACGGAAATTCAGATTCCTGGCAGCTTTGTTGGGAGTCCGGCTTGTGTGTGTGAATTCAGAGCAACTGATGATGATGCCTGAAGATGCCTTTGTTGCATCTTGGAACACTGAAGGGAATTCAGGTTTAGTTCAGTCCCATTGGCTCCAGTTAAGCATGATGCTGCCTGCCAAGTTCCTTCGATCAAAATTAAAATGGATCTGGATTTCTTCCCTCGGCCACATCCATCTATACGTCTTGTCAACAATCTTGGAAAGCAGCTTTTGAGAGACGGGCACTTCTGGCAAATGTTCCAGAATCAAGCCTTGCCACTAAGCTCTTTCACCAGCTTCTCTGTTCTCCCAGTTATGCATTTTTAAAAAAGAAACGCCACCGCAGCATTCAACCAGTTTTTCAACTTTATTTCCTGTATTCCTGAATTTCCAGTGTGAAGAACGGGCCGTAACTAAAAAAATACTAAGTGATCCAAGAGCAAAATAATTTATTGATTTCCTCGGCAAAAGTCTCTCCTGGGAAAAGACGCATGCAGGGTGCAGGGCATGGGGAGAGAAGAGAACCGATGGCTTCCAAGGAAGGGCCTCCAGGTGACCTGAGCAACGGCACAATGTGCGAGGGAGGGGCCTGTGCATTTTAAAGCCCCAGTTTGCGCATTGAAGGTTGTGGGAAGCCACGGGCAGCTGCTGCCAGGCTCCTTGGGACTGGCCACTCCTGGATTCCAGTGGGTGGGAGGGCACCAGAAGTGGGGGGAGGCTGCACCCCCTCCTCCAAGAGGGCAATTTGAAACCTCTCTCTGGAAGGCCCACAGTGGCAGCCACAGGTCCACACTGCATAATCCCCAACGGAAAATCAGGAAGGAAACGGGGTGAACCAGCATCCAGAACAGCTCCACACTTATGATCCTGTCTGGGTCCAGCCCTTTATTGAGAAGGGGGGGGGGGTGTATTTCAAGGCAGTAGCTATGTTCTAAAATTAAAAAGAACTGGATTTAAATAAAAGCAACATTCTCAAAATACCTTGCACTGTTTTTAGTTTGTTACAAACCAACTCTTCTTTCTTCATATTTTACAACATTTGTGCAAAAGGGTGACACACTTGAGGTTTGTAATCTGTCTTCCTAAAATAAACACTCGCACACAAGCAGTGCAGCTACCTGGGAGCAGGATCACAATCCGGCCCCAGACATGCTGAGCTCCAGACTCTTGTGGAAAACCGCCACTTAATAGAGCTGGACTGGGAGCAAAAGATGTTTTCCTATGGACAGATTCACCCAATTTATTTTAAAAGGTAGAAAAACGCTGGGTAGCCTTTCTTGATCAGCCGCTTCTATTTGTTCAAAATAAGTACATCCACGCGTGCACACACGCTCCTGAGGAAGACCAGTGGGAGTACAACCAGATCCACAGACGGCAGAA